TAATCGGTGGGATCTAATTGGTCGAGTGGAGGTGATTGGCAGTAGGCGGTCTCTCAAGTACCCAGATCCAGTACCCATTATTCTGGGAGAGATCATTTTGTCTGTCTGCATGTTAGTTTCGTCAAAAAAGCTGGGGATCTCAGCAGGAAGAGGTGGGACTTAAACTTTGCAGACTCAGTTCTATTGGATGGTAGATGAGTATAACCCACACAGGGATGCTGTCTCCACTTCTTCAGAAAATGAGCATATCAGGTAAGCCAATGCTACAATCTATGGAAAGAATGTTATTTTTAAAGTGTTTGTTTACAAAGCTGTAGTTAGTATAGTTGTTTACCTGTAGACACTTTTCTAGGTATTGGTAGTAATCTAAGGATGATCTGCCATAGCAAATCATGGGAATATTTTCAATACTCTCTTCAACATTAATAAAGTTAGGTAAATCATATTAGTAATAAGGGACAGACAGCTGGTTTAAGGGGAAAAGGGTAGTCAATCCTGGCGTGGAGTTCACAGACCCTTTCAAGCAATGACTGCACTTGATGTTTGAGTAGTGTGGGTATGGAGGAAGAATGTACTTGTAAACTTGTGGTGCCAAGAGAAAATTAATATGATTTAAATTAAGTTAGTTCAATTCATGACTATTCTTTAAATTTATTTTTTCCTTCCAAAACTTTAAAAGTGATATATTTTCTGAAGCCCCAAATTTTGAGATTAGAGCTGTGTATCAGGTACTAGACTTCAGTGCTAACATGGGTACGGCCTTTGGTTGGATTGATTTCCAGTAGTAAAATTGTAATTGTGGCAGCTGCTGTATTGCTCCTACAATACAATACAATAACAATTGTTATCCATGTGTGTGGAAACTTGGAGTTGTGGAACTGTGGTCGGCCTCTAAATATCTCATAACACTTTTCTCTGGTGCTTTAGTCCAAAGGAGATTCTTCCTCTGAAGTCTGTAAAGAAAGAGAAAGAACAGAAGAGACCACGACACTTGCTTACAGACCTCCCACTTCCTCCAGAGCTTCCTGGTGGAGACCCTTCACCGCCAGAGTCTCCAGAACCAAAGTCAGTCACACCGCTTCAGCAGTCATTGAGAAAGAGACCAAAGTAAGAACTAAATATACTTTATTGGATCTGTTTCCGAGTACTTTACTTGAGGGAGATGGGCAGTTTAGAAACATGAAATATAAATAAACAAAACAAAAAAAATATTCCAATGACGATTGGATTAGAACAGTGGTTCCCAACCTTTTTTTGACCTGAGCATCTTTAAAATCCTGCTCCCCCCCCCCCCGACATATAATTCTTACTTTAGTCAAAAAGTGAACTCTGCTCACAATTGCCACCATTAAAAATCAAATTAACCCCCTGTGGGGCCTGGGCCCCACGCTGGGAACCACTGGGTTAGAAGAATAAATTGGATGGTCAGCATAACTAGCCAGATCACCTTTCATTTTATGCAGTGACATCTATTATAATAAGAGTGGCTATTGTATCTGTTTATTCTCATTACTCTAAATGTGATTAATACTGGTAAGTAACACTTGTATTTCCAATTGAAGTAAAACCCATTTTGAAATAGAAAAAAAAAATGAAAAATGAGAGAAGCTCACAATGCAGATTTTGTTCCTAGTGCATGAAAGGTAACATTTGATCCTCAGCTTGGTACCCATGGGTGCCAGTGTGTCCAACATCATCTCCCTTGGAATCTGTTGGACTCCATGCCTGTCTAGTTTTAATTTAGTTTATATTCTATCATTTAAAATAAAATAAGGATCAAGCATGTTGCAAAGAATCACCTTCAAGTACCATCTGTATTTCTATTAATGTGTTCGCACCTCACATCTCAGAAATAATTGAAAATAAAATGGCAGGTGGTTTTAGCTATAGAGCTCGGTTTCTTAGTACACCTATCTCCTTAGGGAAAAAATGAAAATAAAGATAAGCTAAGTGTCCTGTTTGGATGAAAAACTGGCTGGTTTTTTAGCTTTTGGGAAGCATTTTGAATTTGAAACTCTGTTTTGAGCTCAAAACAATACTAAAATACTCAGAACATTACTTGTGCTGCGGTAGAATAGAGTTGAGTACTTTGTATTTTAGTGTATTTCAGGAACCCTGTCATTATCATTAAGGAATAATATTGGCTGTTTAGTTTATTTTATGTGAACATTGCAGTTGGATTTCGTTTACCTGGGTTTAACATTTAGTGTATTGTGAGAATCCAACAGTCTAGGAAAAAATGGTAACATTCAAGGGAGGGGACCTCCTCTACGCACTGTTAACCACCCTACAGAAACCATTTTGTGATGAGGCATGTCACCCCTTCCCCCTAACCCTTTGATGGTAATGCCCACAAGTCAGATGTGGTCCAGGTGCCCAGAAAAGTAAGTATAAACAAATTTAGTGACTCTTCACCCACTGTAAGGTTACAGATATTTATGTTTTCATCCCATATACCAGTGATGGTAAACCTTTTAGAGACCAAGTGCCCAAACTGCAACCCAAAAGCCACTTATTTATCGCAAAGTGCCAATACGGCAATTTAACCTGAATACTGAGGTTTTACTACCTAAAATAATGATAAACAAAGCGGAGTTCAGCTAATTGTTCTAAGAATGTGATAAATGCACTTTTATGCCCCTTCATTTTTTTCCTGCTTTTGAAAGATTACATTTAGCAACAATAAAAAAGAAAAATGTGTGTAATATTTTCTCTTTCCCTCCCTTTCTCTTTCTCTCTCTCTCTGTTTCCCTCCCCCTCTCTTTCTCCCACTCTGTTTCCCTCCCTCTTTCTCTCTCTCTTCCCTTCTCTCTTTCCCTCCCTCTCTCTCTTTCTCTCCCTCCCTCTTTATCTTTCCCTCCCTCCCTCTATCTTTCTCTCTGCCTCCCTCTGTTTCTCTCTCTCTCCCCCTCCCCCCTGGGGGGGGAAGGAACCCCTGAACTGGTGCTGGGTGGTGGGAATCTGATGTCCGCTGATATAGGCTGATGAGCCCAGGAGCAGCGCGCCGAAGCTCAGCTGGCTGGCAGGGAGGCAGGGCATCCCAACACAGCTCTGCAGGAAAAGCAACTGACATCCAGGAGGCCAGAACGAGCAGAGACAGCGCAGGGTTGCATTGTGGCTCCGCGTCATAATGGGCTTCAGGAGGAAGCGTGTGAGTGAAAAAGTTCACTCAATCAATTCCAACTTTGTGAGATCATTTTCTTTCATGAGAAGTTGAAATTGATTGAATGAATTTTTTGTTTTTAGTCCCACAAATTTTTGTTTCCCTGCAAACGACAGCGAGAAACGTGATGGAGAAATGCGATGGAGCTTGGCTGGCTCTGTGTGCCACCTCTGGTACGCATGCCATAGGTTTGCCACCACGGCCATATACCATCTCTTATCTATAAACAAATCCATATAACATCTTTTCAATCCTGGTGACAGCAGAAAGTCCATAAAGGGTTGTCAGAAGTAACAACAGATCTTGTTTTAACCTTGATCAAATAAACCACCGTTATATTCCTTCCTTTTCTAACAGTCTTAATATTTACAGTAGTTCATTAAATATATCATAGGATTCGATTTATCTTCATTTTTTTTGTCCCATCACACAGATTTTTTCAAGGCTCTAACAAGTCTCTTTTGTAAATTCAGTAAGGAAAAAATTATCCAAATCACTCTCTTGGTTTGTCATTTGTATTTCCCTTTTAAATTTTAAAACCTCAGCCAGTTTCTTTGGTAGTTCCGGTGAAACATCCTTTTCTAGGCCATTATTTTGACCTGTCAGTTGTAAATCCATTTTTGAACCCATTTATATTTTGTCAAATAAAATTTGTTCTACATCTCTCATTTCTCCAATAACAACTTTTATAGATAGTCTTTCCAGAGAAGCAGACCTCATTACTGACATTGTTGATTGTTGATATTGTGATTACTATTTTCTGATTCCATTCTTCAAAAGTCTCTTTGTTATTTGTATTATTATGATGTTTTGCATCATTTTACAGGATTGTAAATCTTTACCTAAACACTTTAGTCACCTTTTAAAAGTGTTTCAGTTATTAGAAATCTTCACCTGCTTCAATAAATGGAGATTACCATTGCTTATGCACCTCATCCAGGCCCAGATAATCCTCATTATTGTCTGTGATTAGATTCAGAGATGTTAGCTGATGAAATAATGATTGTTATATTTCATTAATAAACATTTTGAAAAGTTAAAAAACAACCAACCAAAAATGTATTAGTGAAGAAATACATATATTACAGTAATTAAACCAAACTAGAGAGAAAAAAGTAAAATATACAGGAAAACAAAAAAATAAAATCCATATAGTGATATAAAATTCAATCCATAAATTTATTATATACTGTCTCTTCTCATTTTTAGAATATAAGCACATTTCAAAAATTGATAAAGTCCACATATTTGAATCTGTTCTTCAACATCAAGAATATAAATTTCTTTCTATCTACATCAGGGCTGTCAAACTCCCGGCCCGTGGGCCAGATGCATCATGTGCTGGCCATGCCCACACCCAGTTTAGTGAAGGGGGAAAAAGTCCCAATATGTCACGTGATGCCGCCGTGACGACATGAGTTTGACACCCCTGATCTACATGAAATGTCTTTGTTGAGCCCAACACTTGATTAAGCAAGAGTTCTTCATAAAGTGTCAAATTCCATACTTCATGAGTACTGCTCATCACATTTATATGTTTAACGTATATTTTTTTAAGTCTGTGTTACATATAATGTAACCTGGAACCAAAGGGTGAACCATGACTAGTCATGAACAAATCATGTGAGTCAAAGAGTCTTCAAATTTCTAGCAACACTAGGATAAGAAAACGAAAATTGGTGACAACTTAGAAGTGGCATTCTGATATTATGCTAAACAGTGATGTTATGTTTTTCATTTTGGTTTAGCACATGTGGATATAGCAATTATGTGGTTTGTAAACTATGGTTAATATTTAATACCACAGAGTTACCCTGCGGTAGGATGGGTGGCCAATAAATTTTATAAATAAAATAAATAAATCATGTATAAATCTGGCCAATTGTGGTTTATTTAATAAACCTGATCAACAAGCCATGTTTCTAGTCTTAACCTGGAATATACAGTTCCATACCATTTAGTATTGTAATCTGCTACCCTGAAAACTATGTATAAACCTCTTGGAGCTTTTAAGAAAAAGAGTGGAACATATTTATAATAAATATGTCAGGTAACATAGCAATTCTTATATGCAATTTATATACATGCACACATGCAGATCAGACTAGGAAGGTTTATGAAAGAGTTTTTAAGTAAGAATCACTCTAGGATTTCTGAACAGATGCACGCAAACTATCCTATCAAGATTGGAAGTTTTCTCATTGGACTTAGTGTTGTATGTGGCTCATGGTCTGATTTCAAAAGCTCCATGCAAGTGATCCATTCAGAGTTTTGGTGAAATTGTCAGTCCCTTCCCTGGTGATCTGCTGCTTGGAAGAGTTAGAAGTGGGAGTTAGAGAATGAGAGAGAAGAGAGATGTTAGAAAAAAGGAGCGTCAGAAAGCAAAACTGAGGTGTCTTATTCACTTTTGACTCTGTCTCAACCAACCGTTTGCTCCAGTTCTGCCAGTCATTCAATGCAAACTCCAAGAAGGTACACTTAATGGAATATGCCCTCAGGTTTCCCACTTCTGACCTCAATGAGCAGATAGATATTCAGACACTCGGAATCTTACCCATTTATTCAACTAGATAGCATGTGATAAATAAGATAATCTACTTGTGGTTAACAGGGAACTCTGGTCTATGTACCAGTATGTATATATGTTTATTTATTTATTTAATAACCCTACCCCCCTCAAAAAAATATTGGCAAACACCACACTGACAATTCGAATTTCAATTCATATTTTTAATAAATACGTCAGGTAACATAGCAATTCTTATATGCAATTTATATACATGCACACATGCAGATCAGACTAGGAAGGTTTATGAAAGAGTTTTTAAGTAAGAATTTTGCATTTTAACAGTTCTTGTGTATTTCCCCCCCCTTCCAGAATCTGTTGCCCTCGTTATGGTGAGAGGAGACAGACAGAAAGTGATTGGGGAAAGCGCTGTGTGGACAAATTTGATATTATTGGTATTATTGGTGAAGGAACATATGGGCAAGTGTACAAAGCCAAGGACAAGGATACAGGTGAGTGCAAAATGTACTATTTTTAGCCTTTTTTGGTTTGTTTGTGTGTCTGTGTGTGTGTGTGTGTATGTGTATACACACACACACACACACACACGCACATACTGTAGATGTATATAGAAGACTGTATTAATACTTATAAAATAAAAAGTATAAATGTTGTATTCTGTATATAAAGGAACAAATGACCTGCCTATAAAAAGATAAACTGGTTGCCCTCTTGTTTCAGTGATAAGGGATGAAACGTATCTGTTAATGAATCAATTTCAAGTATGGAAATGAAGACCAGTTCATAAATATGAAAGCTTTTATACTTCTGATATATCCAGTGTTTACCTGATCAACATTCTTCATTGTATGGGTAGTCCTCAAGTTACAACCACAATTGAGAAATAAGAGAGCCAGTTTGGTCTAGTGGTTAAGGCACCAGGCTAGAAATCAGGAGACCGTGAGATCAAGTCCTGCCTTAGCCATGAAAGCCAGCTGGATGACTTTGGGCTAGTCACTCTCTCTCAGCCCAACACATCCCACAGGGTTATTATTGTGGGGAAAAATAGGAAAAGGAAGGTGTGTTGGATATGTTTGCCACCTTGAGTTATTTGTAAAAATAAAGATGGGATACAAAATAAATAATAAATTGGGACTGGAATTTTGGTCATAAGTCGTAATCGTAAGTTGAGGCACCATGTGACCAGACTCAATTTTACAACTGTTCTACAATGGTTGTAATTCGAGACACCATGGTTAAGCACATCATGTGGTTATTAAGCAAATCCATTCTTTCAAATGGACATTTTTTTTGCCAGAAAAACAGTTCTGTGATTGCAGGATGGTGTAACAGGTCATAAATACGAGCTGGTTGCCAAGTGCCTGAAATATGATCACATGACCATGAGGTTTGTGTGCAAGAGTCACAAATTCAAGGACGGGTCGTAAGTAGCTTTTAAAGTTTGTTGTAACTTTGGTTGTTAAACAACCAGTCCTAAGTTGAGGACTACCTGTATTAACAGTGTCCCCTCAGGTAGTTGACAGAGAAGGACATCCGTAAGAACACCATATTTTTCATTTCTCTTGTTTATTTTGCCTATTATTACTTTCATTATTATATTTCCTGTGATCTTTATTTGGCAGGTGAATTGGTGGCTTTGAAAAAAGTAAGGCTGGACAATGAAAAGGAAGGCTTCCCTATTACAGCTATCCGTGAAATCAAGATCCTCAGACAATTGATTCACCAGAGTGTTGTCAACATGAAGGAAATTGTTACAGACAAACAAGATGCACTGGATTTCAAGAAGGACAAAGGTAGTCATTGTCAAAGAAGGTTGTTCAGAAATAAATTGTGAGATTATGGCCTGTGCTTCAAATCAGGTGGCTTTTTTAGCTGTAATGAACACGCTTTGTACATAAAACATACCCAATGTATTGTGAGGAGGTATATTTTAATTTTGACTGAACTGCCAATACTTCAAAGGCTTACCTTATAAGAAACATCTGGGTGAGAAATGTCCTATTCATCTTGAGGATCTTTTGTGAAATTTTGAGAGGAGTTCTATGCTATGTAAGATAATTCAGGATAACTTTAATAAAAGTTAGGGTTAGGGTTAGGGAAAATTGCTATTCTTAGGAAGAGAAATTTAGATATACTGGAATATTGGATCCAATTTTTGTTGCCATGATATAAAAAATGTAGAGTGCAGAGAAGAGCAACAAAGATGATTAGGGGACTGGAGGCTAAAACATATGAAGAACAGTTGCAGAAATTGGGTATGTCTAGTCCAAGGGTCGGCAACCTGCGGCTCCAGAGCCGCATTTGGCTCTTTTATCCCTCTGCTGTGGCTCCCTCCTTTCATTCATCTGCTGCAGACAGAAGTGGCCAACTCCATGGCCTGCCCGCTGCTCTTGCAGCGCCTTGTGCAGTGCAGTGAAATTTAGCGCGCTTCACAATGAGGGAGATGGGGTCCCCTCCTCCTCCTGGAGTCCATTACGACATGGAGCCACAATACAACCCTGCCCCACTTGCCCCTGTCAACAGCAGCAGCGTTGGCTGCGGCGTGGGTCAGTGTCTCAGGGTGGAGAGCAGGTTGCCTCCAACACAGAGCACTAGTCAGAGCCTTCCCCAGACTCCAAGACTGGCCCAGGTTCCTCCCCAACCTCCTCACTGTCTGGCGGGCCACAACACACGCCCACTTAGTCATATAACCGATGCTGCAGAGAGAGGGCGATTTCCTATGTAATCGACTAGCAGAGTAAGTGAAAGATGTGTAAACAGGACTTAATCCTGTAGGCCAAGAAATGGGAAAACAACAAAATGGAAAGCTCTGGTTTATGCTCTCAAGCAGTATATTTAGTAACTAAGCAAGATCCTAAATGTGGATTAATAAAACACATGAAAACCAAAACACGGAGATGAAACTTTATCCGTACAATTTACTACCTTCGGCTCAAAATTGGAACTACGCTTCCCAACAGCCCCCGTCGCTTTTATCTTTAAACGGAAGCTAGGTCATTGGAAAGATTATTTAAAAAACTATGAGAGGAAGCCAGCAGTGGAGCTTGGGTTGTCTTAAAGGGGACGCATCTAATTCAGAAGCTTTGGTAAGAAAAGCGGGAAGGTTGCAAAGCAAGTGGAAACCTGGCGGCAAGTTCCAGGGTCTCAAAGACCAGTATTAGCAGAGTAGCCCATTATTTGTTTTTAAGAAAGTGTAGAAATAGCGAGGGAGGAAAATGAAGTTGGCCAGGTAAAAAGTGTGGAGAATGTGAGTAAAGAAAGGCTGTTTTGACGAAACGAGGCAGAAGCAGCAGAGAGAATATAAAAGTGGCCGTTGATGCAGGTGGTGCCTTTTGGAGAGGATCCCAAGCATATATGTCAACAGTTTAGCACATAAGACCGATGGACTATAGGGAAGGTTGGAGCGGAGCAGTGATGGTTATGGGGGTGGCGATCTTGAGCCGGCAAGCGCAAAAAAGTATTGAGTGGCAGAACAGAGCAAACAGGCACACATCTCACGGCGCTGGAGGGACTCGCCCATGCGCCGTCTACTCGCAGAAGGTCCCAGACTCACGGCGCTGTGAGGTGTGCACACTCTGTGTGTATTCCCGAGAAGCAGGAGAAGACTTGGCTGAACCTTTCTGCCTACCTTCGCAGCGGAGCTGCTCGGAAGGCAGCTCCTGTGTCCTGTCCCTTTATGGTCCCCCCTCCCCCCATGTCAAAGTACCTTAAAGGGACAGACTGCGGTGGCTGCCTTCCAAGCAGCTCTGCTGCGAAGGAAGGCAGAAAAGTTCTGCCAAGTCTTCTCCTCCTTCTTGGGCATACACAGTGCGGGCACATCTCACGGCACCGGGACCTTCTGTGAGGAGACAGTGCCTCCAGCGCAGCAGGTCGTTCCCCTGGCCAGTTCTGGCTGCGAGTGGCACAGGCAGGCAATGGTGTGTGTGTGTGCAGCCGGCGCGAAGAACACGGGGGCGATGGGACTTCAGTCCTCTTTTTCGGCCTGTACTTTTCAGTAGTTTTTGGCACAAGAAGCCTGCAGCCGCCGCCTCTTTTTCAGCACAAGAAGCCTCCAGCCACTGCCTCTTTGCCAGCCAGAACCTAGCCAGCAGCAGTGGCTGCAGGCTTCTTGTGCCGAAAACTACCGGCGGCTGGAGGCTTTTGATGTGCTAAATGTTCATACTTTTATTCTTCATAAAAGTGTTGGTGTTTTCTCTGTCATTTTCTGTTAGGTGCATTTTATCTTGTATTTGAATATATGGACCATGACCTCATGGGATTGCTAGAATCTGGGCTGGTGCATTTCTCAGAGGACCATATCAAATCATTCATGAAGCAGTTGATGGAGGGACTGGACTACTGTCACAAAAAAAACTTTCTTCATCGCGATATCAAATGTTCCAACATCTTATTAAACAACAGGTAACAATGTGAATTTATTTTGTATTGGATAGTGAAACCACACTTGGAATACTGTGTCCAGTTCTGGTCACCATGAAAAAAAAAAGATGTTGAGACCCTGGAAAGTGTGCAGAGAAGAGCAACAAAGATGATAAAGGGTCTGGAGGCTAAATCATATGATGAATGGTTGAAGAGTATGGTATGTCTAGCCCAGTGGCCAGCAATCTTAAGCACTCAAAGAGCCATTTGGATCAGTTTCCTACAGAAAAGAGCCGCAAAACCTGGGTGGGTGTGGCCAACTCAACATCACTCCCACCCAGTCACATGACATCCCCCCT